TTTCATTTTAGGGTATGTTTGGGAGTTAAGTTTTGGAGTTTAGGGGAAGGATGAAGAAGGTTTGTGTCCCTCCCTTTTTGCTTTGGAGTTCAAATGCTCAATTTTTAAGTTCCCTCAAATTGGAGGGTATTGAAGAATAATTAACTTAATGATAATTTTAGGAGGTGTTTGGAACTGATTCTGCTTCTGCTTTTTTTTAAGTAGAATCAGAATCAGTTTTCAGAAGCTAGTCTCCCCCAACTTCTAAAAAAGCTGATTCTAGGAGTAAATTTAGGCACCAGAAGCACTTCTACATTTCCATCCAAACACTTCAACGTCTACTTCTGCTCCCTGAAGGAGCAGAAACAGTTTTAAGAATCAGATCCAAACACCCCCTTAGTTCAATTTCAAATGAATACTCGGTATATGTTTGACTATTTGAATTAACCATATCTCAAAATGGATTTTAATTATAATTTCATCAAAGACTATCTTCAAATTTGTAACTCCAAACATGAAGGATTTTCTCACATTCTACTCCTACAACTAACCTTTAAAGCTTTTCTCTCCCAAAACTCCCAAAACATACCCTTAGGGTTTCTTTGAATACTGGGGTTATGGAGTGGTATATCTTGATATACATTTGAGACCTTATAAAAATTGAAAGATTAAATAGTATGTGATCATATGACACTTTAATTATCTATAATTCCCTCTGTCCCGTAGAAAGATTTTCAGCTTCTTTTTTTGGACGTCCCATATAAATGTTTCCATTTCTATTTTAGGAAACAATTTACAATCTTAAATGACAACTTAATTATTAAATATTGAAAATAGTAGATTTATAACATCACAGTTATCAATACTAACCCCATTATATTACATACCTATTAAAAATTTTTCTCAAAATTTACTCAAATTACATTATTTAATTATTGCTAAATAATCGTGTTGTTATGTCATGAGAACCTTCTAACGGGGCGGAGGTAGTAGTTCCTTTGATAGGAATTCTATTATATATCAAGATTAGCATGACCCCTACACAAGGATGACATGCACAAATCGAGAAATAGTCAAGATATATATCAAATACTCCAAACCCTTTTTTATTTTATTTTTATTTTTGAAGAAAGGAAATTTTTTATTGAATAAAGAAAAAAAGAAGGCACAACAAAGAAACAAAAAATAAAAAATAAAAAAAAAATAATAAAGCAGGAAGCTAGGGGTAAAAGCTAAAATGAACATAAACCAACCCAAAGTGCAACAAATTATCCCTCCCGGAATAATTCCATGGCTCGGTAAAGTCTTCAAAATTACACCCGTGTTTGGATCTAGGATGTTTTTACTTGGATTGTTTTCAGTCCCAGACCAGATCAGATCAAACCATACTTGGATAGTTATAAAATACAGAGAAACCATGTGATTACCAGACCAGACTAACAAATTTCAATCCAAGTAAAAACATCCCTAGTTCGCATTAGATATGATCGCTAATTCTTCTTCTTGTATATCTTAATTTGAGCGTTCAGATTTTCTATAGGCAAGCAGTTTTCTCTCGTGATCAACCTAGCTTTGTTACAAATATCCTGATTTATATCTGAATCCCATAAATCCTCCAATGATGAAACATGAGCCCTTTTCTCACTTTTTGAAGCATGGTCTAGAAATTCATCCTCGAATGTGAAAAGAAATGCTCGTCAAAGTTGCTGCACCATAAAATTCTTCAGAAAAACGATTACCTGAGAAGACGACGCCCGAAAATTCGACATTTGGATTTGCACACCCAATATCTTTATCTTCAAACATGTATTTTATCCAAAATGTCTCGATTACCCCTAGAAGAGGCAATAATTTTTTTGAATTTTTGATTAAAAATTGAGAAGAGTGATTCCACATCATGAGACATAGTAGTCTAAAAGAAATCTTTAATATGTGTTAATGAATCGTCAGTTCCAATTAGCTCAGAGCTATAGAAGGCTAATGATTGTTTTTTACTATAATGGATGATTATTCGTGTGCAGTTTGAATATATTTGCTAGTGAACAAAACCGAAGTTTTTAAAATGTTTATGTCCTTTATTGCAATGGCGGAAAAACAATATTCAAAAGATGTGCAATATTGTTCAGAGTGATTACGGAACACAATTTAATTGCTTGACACCCCCCCAACCAGCGGAATGATTTTTCAGACCTCTTGTGTTGGCACACCATAGCAGAATGGTCGGGTTGAACGCAAATACCAACATATTCTTAATGTGACAAGGACGTTGTGGTTTCAGGCTAATCTTCCCATATTATTCCGGGGAGAATGCGTCTTAACCGCGGCTTATCTTATTAATCGTACACTGTTGTCTACTCTTCAGTTTAAAAACTCCTTATGAAATTCTCTTTGGACAACCGCCTTGTTATGATCAGCTGCATGTTTTTGGTTGTCTTGCCAAAAACACGCAGACATTAGAATAACTAAGTTCAAGTGGATTATCTGCATTCATTGAATTGGTGAAAAATGGAAGTTTAGTGCTTTTATTAATAGAGCACGACATACAGTGATGTTCACTGACAGAATTGCATGAATTACATTATTAGTTTGACGTAATAAGGAATGAAAAATTTGACGAGATGGATGGCCCAAGGTGTGATGCCACCGAGACTCAACAAAGTTGAATGACATTTATTTGAGGCGAGACATGATTTGATGCATATTAAACATCATGGAATTCTCCCCGCGCATGAGCTGATCCTTAACAACAAAATGTGAAGGGAAAATTTTAACAGACACATTACTCCCTTCATCCCAATATAAAGGTCCCCTTTATTTTACAAACATTTTAAGAAAGTAAAATTATGTGGCACCGTTTGACACTGTTTGACACTGTTTTGCACTGTTTTTCACTGTATTGTTTACCAAAAAAGGAAATGGGACTTGTAGGGATGTCCCGAAGGGAGTATTGGCACTTTTCGGGATGTTTTGCAACTTTTTTCACTGTATTGTTTTTCACTGTATTGTTTTTCACTGTATTGTTTACCAAAAAAGGAAATTAGACTTTTAGGGATGTCCCGAAGGGAGTATTGGCACTTTTAGGGATGTTTTGCACTGTTTTTCACTGTATTGTTTTTCACTATTTTGCACTGTTTTTCACTGTATGTATTGGCACTTTTAATTTTGCACAGATTTGCAACAGACACTAGGTTTTTGAGAAGATTAGGAGCACATAAAATATTGGAGAGGGCTAGAGCGGGTAGGTGTGGTTAAAATAGTTGAACCAGTGTGAGTGATAGACAAAGACTTACCATCACCAAAGATAAACTTCATCAGGACCACCATATTCTGCATAGGTAGGGAGTGATGTTGAATCGGTTGTAACATGATGGGATGCGCCACTATCAAACAACCACGGTTGACCAACTGGAACTGGAGATGCGACGTTAACAGAGGTAGTGTTATGTGTTAACCATAGGTGAATTTTGTTGTGATGGGCATGGGATATATTTGTCACGTAGAAAACATTGGAGTTTCTATAGTATGTGGTGCAGTTCAGGTGAAGGCGAATGAATAGACCAAAACTAATTGTTCCCTTGAGATAACGAAGAATTTGTTATATTGCCTGCCAATGATGCTCTGAAGGGTGATGCATACCAAGACAACTGATTAACGGAGAAAGCCAAATCTGGTCCAATGAAAGCTAGATATTCTAGTAAACCAAGTGCTCGTCTATACAGTTGTGGATCAGGCATAGGAGAACTGTCAACATTCAGCAATAGACTGAAATAGTGCGTCCAAATCTTTTTAAAGCACTGCATACCTTTTTCTTTATAACCATTTTAAAGCCCTACATCCAAAAGTTTGTGTTTGGAATATATCAAGAGCCCGTTTGGTGACCCGATTTTTCGGCTTATCGGACTTATCAGTCAACTTTTTCACCAATCACGTAACTTTTAATTTCGCACGCTGAATTGTGTAATAATAAGAAAAAGTAAGGTTGAAATTACTTTTCTGACTGTGGTCCGGGCCGGGTCCGAGTCGGGCCTAGGCCCAACGGGCTTTCTGGGGTTTGGGGATAGGCCCAGAATCGGCCCGGGTATCCACCGGGTCCGGGTCGGGCCAGGCCGGGCCTCAGGCCCGTTTCTTTTTTTTTTTCATTTCTAATTAACCCCCGACTCCCCCCTCACCACCACCACCCCAAACCACGCCAAATGGACCAAAATACCCCGCGCAAGTCCAACCCGGGAAATTAAAAAAAAAAACTGAAAAAAAAAAAAAGAATAAAGCCCGAACCAGGCCCGGCCGGTTGCAAATTTTGCTGACCCGAGCCCGCCCTCACATAACCCCGGGCCGGGCCTACCCAAACCGAGCTCTGGCGGGTCAATGGGCCGGGCCGGGCCCAAACAGTACCAGTCCCGGGCCGGGCGGCCCGACCCGAGTCCATCACTAGTACCGAGACAAAGGACGGCTAGTTCTCCAACCCTCCCACCCACCCTTTTTAACCACACTCCCTCATCTATTTTTTTTCCGATACATCTGAATGGAACACTCCCTTACCTAATGGCTATATAGCTCTTGGTCTTGGACCCTAAACCCTCCCAAGTCCCAAGTCCCAATGGCAGCCCAGCCCTAGCCCCATCCCCTACTTGAAAAAAAAAGCCAGAAATGGCCATTGCAATCCCCCATTACTGGCACCAGTACTGTACCCGTCCCCGGGTCCAGTCTCAGTCCTGGTGCCCCATTCTTTACCCAAACGAGCTACACTAATATGAATATAAATTCTAAATTTTCAAGTTCAATAATCAATACAATCGATGACATAATAGAGGGTTTCCAAAAAGAAGAAAAAGACTTGTCCATTTCCCTGTTTCAAGAAAGAATGCTATCCACTTAAGAAAAAAACAGACTTATCGCCATCATAGAAATTAACTTAAGAAAATCATCACCAGTAAATGTTCATTTGGGATGAAAATCAAGTCATTAATTGATGTTTAGAATTTAGACATGAACACATTAGAAACCCCTTATGGTGAAGTGTCTGCAGAATAATGTGATGTAATTGCTAGTTCAAAGGGCAAACCGACAAAGTATCAATTTTAGTAGCACTGGTCAATTTATTTCGCTAGTTCTAATACAGTGAGGTCACTTTTGACATCTTGAACTAAAAGGGGAATATCTGTTTTTGTTGATCCAAAAAATCTAAGACAAGGACAAAGATGTGAATGCAATATAGTCAAAAGACTAAAAGTGAAATTTGCCCCAGTTAATGATACTGGTAACAATCATAAATTCACAAATTTGCACCTCATGTGGACAACATCATTGAGGTTTGACATTTAGATCAATGATGACTTCTGGTGTAATACTAGTCAATAATCAATGCAATCAATCAGAAGAATTTCTCATTTGCAGGAGTTAATAAAGTTGCCAACCAAGAAGAATTTATCATTTGCTTCTATCCCTGTACAAAAAGTATCTCGGACACACACCTATGTTTTTTCCCACTGCAATGTTTTCCTTCAGGAGATGGGTTGCAAGCAAAGTCAGAACATAGACAGGTTATTCGCCCACTTCGACAAACGGAATCCCCCTGCCATTAATTTGAGACAAAAGTTAGCGAATCTTACACAAAATTATGCTGGCCATAAATAAAGGGCTGGATTAATTAATATTGTGATGCTGAACTACACTTTCGTATAAGGCCACCAATGTACTGGGTGAGTTTCTGTGCAGTCTACCCTTGGTGAGGTTGAGAAATATAGAATGTGGTTATCTTAGTTCAATATGAATAGAGAGACATATGTAGAGAAAATGAAAAACATAATGTATGGGACAGCCAGGAAAGCAAGGTAGTTCAGATGTCATGAATAAGGCGCAAAGCTTTTAGGAGGGAAAGATCCTTGAAAAAAATCAAATGAAGAGAAGAAATATAGATAGTTTTCCTGTACCACAACTTTAAGTGTAGGAAAACACATGCATGATGGAAACTAACGGCCTGTTTGGATTAGGTGTTGAAGGGTGTTAGTAATGGAAGTGTTAAGGAGTCTTGGCTTCAACACTTGTTTGGGAGAGAAATTTTAAAAAAACTGGAGTGTAAGTGTTAGTAAGTATTAGGTAAAACCTCCCTAACACTCCATTTTGTGTCTTTTTTTAACACCCCAAATTGGAGTGTTTTGAAGTGTTGAACATGCCTTGCCCCTTTCAATCTGTCGTTCTATCTCCATTCCAATCTTCCGTAGTTTCGTTTCCCCCATTGGTCACGTACTGTGGTCTTCTTTGTTAGATTTTCTCCAACTCCAAATCAATTCTAATTTAACCTTCTTTTTGTAATACGAGGTATATATGAATTCCATTGAGAATTTGGCAAAGCTCTACGTAAATTAAAAAGCTTTGAGATGGATGTTAAAAACATTACTCCCATTAAGAAATACCAAAATGAATATCTTGCAGACATGGGACAGAGTGCATTTTTAAAATTGGATAGTACAAGAAGAAGGGCCGCCCCAACAATGGAACGTCCACGAAAGGCTTCTCGGCTTCTCGCTATGACGCTATGTATATCAGTATATGTGCTCCAACTACGGAGCAGAAGAAGAGCAAGTTTATGCCTTTATGGCTAAAGAGGTCCGTATATACGAAGATGATATTACTCTGTAGTACATGGTATTAAAGAGGATAAGGACATTATTGTCAATTAAATGAAAACACTTCCTTTATTAACACTTCATTTTTATAACTCTTCCAAACAAGGTTAGTTTGCATCTAACACTTACTAACACTTCCATTACTAACACCTCTCAACACTTCATCCAAACATGCCGTAAGGTGTTGAATAGACTGTTCCCATGGATTTTCAAACGTGATATCAAAATATGGGAGCACTATCATGTGCAGTTTCATTAAATCTGTTTGGTCAAAATTTGCCAGGGAATCCAAAATCATAATGTCATCCCAAAGTTACACTTCAATATATTGCCCCTTTTGGGTAAAAGGGAGAATAAGTCTTTTTAACAAGACAGTGACACATGATATGTAACAACCAAGCCAAAATTTGAACGTGTAATATAGTCAATTCTTTATACCTTTTCTTATCACTTAGTAGTGATATAAACAGTATTATGTAAATGTACATGGGAAAATTCCCGAAATAAGAGTAAAAATGTTTCAGAATTCCAAAATAGGTCTGACATGTTTTTATTCCCTAAATAGGAGTAATTATTGACAAATTAGAAAAATACCCCCACGTTTAAAGTCTTGTACGGTCAAAACATGACAGTAATTACTCCTATTTAGGGAATACACACATGTTAGTCCTACATTGGAATACACAAACTCGTTTAGTCCTGTTTAGGGCAATTTCCCAAAGTACATTCGTTCCAAAGCAGTGCCAGATTGGCATGCCTGTAAAATGGGCAAAGCGAAGCAGTTCATTTATTGGCAGACAAATAAAACATCAAAGTTCTTACCAGCCTCCATGTCTTGAGAAGTAATCATTATCTAGTGATACAGCAAGCGCAACAGCTACTGCTCGCTCTGAGAGGGTTAGTGGACGAACAACGTCTAACTCTTGAATCTACATTGAAGAGAAAAAGACATGGTTTTGAAAACAATTATTAACAAGTTACATACGTTGGAATATCCATAAAGATGTTTACCCCTCCAACTGAAGCATTACTGGAATCAGTTTTGCCGAATTGGATCACATACTGGCCAGCATCTGTGAAAATCTGCAAGACACAGATTATTATCATCAGGTTTCTTCTTTATTATGATAGAATGAACTGAGGAGGAAGTTGAACAGTGGTACTTTAAAGGCATGTGACTAATAACTATATTGACTTCTAAGGCACTGTTGTTCTCATCTCATTTAGTGAATATGCTGTCCACTATTGTAAAGATGTTATAATGAATATGCTCCCTTCTTGTACATGGGACCAGAGGCAATCCTGATGGCTTGAATTTCTTTCCTGGCAAATACTGCAGATGAGCAGTAACAGTACCCAACTTTGTACTTTTCTTTTGATGTGTGCGTTTTCTTTGAATTAGCTCTTTCAATCATCATTGAAAACATGGGCGATCCATCAATGCTTTTCTGGTCACCGTAAACTTTTGTGTAAGCTCACAAGTGAGACAGATCTTCAACAGCCTCGTCATCACAGGCTAACATGTAGGCCTTTTCCAGTGACTTTTCTAGATGAAACTAGTTCTGCTATCCATCCTCTGGGGACCCTCTTATGTAGTTTCCAGAACAATGAATTTAGAATTTTCACCAGAAGTGAGCTAGTAGATAAGCAGCCTAAGCTAAAAGGCAATTTGATAATCCGTTTAAATGGCATCAGTTAATGGGTTATTCGAGTAAACTTGCAATCCTGCAGCCAAGGTATTATTCCTTTATGAGGAAAAATATCATTTTGATGAGTCGGAAAAAGTATTTTTTTCTTCTGTAGAAATTATTAAATAGATCTTTTTTGCTAAACAAAATGAAATGATTTAACTTAATACACATATACAGGATTGCTACAATAAAATACTCAAATGACCTCTAAATTGGCGCCGTTTAAACAAAGTACTAAATGGAGGACTGAAGTTGATATGTAACTGATAGTCAAGAACTATTTGCAAGTGATTTTGAAGGACTTCACTTGAGCTGGTAAAATCCTTATAGTCAGATGGCCAAGAAAGGCACTTTTCCCATACAGTTCCCCAAGTAAAATCCTTAAAGAAGAGTTACTACAGCTTAAATCAGATAGAGCATCCATTATTTGTCATGCTTCTCTCTGCTCTTACTTCCAAAACAGAGAGAACCATTGTCTGGATCTGTTTAAATAACTAAGTAACGAAGGTTAGTAGGCAAGTTGCTTTACGCCTTTACTGATCTCTGAGTTGTCTTGATACTTCACTTGCAGTGAGTGTTGCTGGCCATTTCTTAGAATTTCTATGTGTGAGGACATCGGTATGCAATCACTAGAATTGTCGACACATTGACTCTTTGCCTATACAGATGTAGACTAGGACAGATATCGACAGGAAATTCATAATCAACGATTGTGTATTGTGCACTTTTTGTTGGTAGTTTGATTACTTTGATATATAGGAATAGCTGAAAACAAGAAAGGGTGGAACGACCAAGTGCGCAATTTGAATATAGTGCAATGGCAGTTGAAATAATGAGTTTACTGAGGGGCAAAGTGCCTCCAGTTGGTGCTTCAATTTATTTATGTTTATTTTTAAACACTAATCTAAATACAACAACATTATCCTAGTGCTGCAAAGGCTCCCAACTGCGGTGGGGTAGGTGGGGTCGGATATACGCAGCCGTACTCCTCCACTAAAGCACACAATTAAAAACTAATCTAAATATAAAAAAATTGATTTCTTGTGCAATTTCTATGTCAAAACCAAGCTTAAGAAAAATACTTTATTTGGCACTTTCCTGTATCCAAACATAATCTTAGACTTCTAACGCAAATGTTTCCTCATAACATTTGATGTTCTTTTCTATTGGCCTTCATGTAGTTGCCTGCATATTGTAGGGACGGGTGTAAGCTTGATATATCAGTGAATCTATGACTACATTCTTTTTATGCACACGTTAGTACCAGTTTGTTTTTCAGAAGTACCAAAAAAAATGTACCAGTTGTCATACCTTGGTGGCTGTATACTGAAATCATCAACCACCAAGTGAGGGTTCAAACAAGATAAAGAGAGGTTATAGATTCATAGAGAAAGGTAAATTTAATACTCCGTAACTGTTACAACAACAAAAAATAGAAATTTAACAATAGAAGCCCCCTAGAGCAACACGGCATATCCGCAAAATAAACATATTATGAAGTAATCAAGTAAACAACTAAATAATGATAACCTCAAAACCAAATCCTCTCCAGTCACGATCTATCTGAGCCAGCACATTCCCATCAATGTCCTTTAATGTAAAAGTCCAGTTCCAAAAGCCAGGATTCTCAACCACGGCAAACTGATCATTCCTACAACGTGATATACAAATACTTTAACAAAAACGAGTCCTATATAGTATATTTATTCAAGATTGCTTTGAGACTTGAGTTAGCATTAAGGGATGTCAAGCGCCACAAGGCCCACAACTATATCATGCATATTATGATGCATCAAAAGAAATAGTTCGGTTTAACCAACCAAAAAAGAGTTATTTTTATGGTAGATTTGCACTCAAAGAAATCCTCATAAAAAGTTACAGTCTGCTGTTAGGTGAGAACTAGAAGTTAATTAACTAGTAGTTGTAGAAGGTTAGTTAGGTCAGAAACTAATAAGATGCCACCACTGGTGAAGAAACCACAACTTACATGATTATGCAATCAAAATCTATCAAACAATGTCAAAAGAACGTTTGGCGATTGATTTTTGGAAATGTTGTTAATAGCTGAAAAGATATAAATTATTCAAAAGGAAAATGATATTACCCCAAATACAGGTCATATATTCTCTTCCAGAGATGCCATCTTCTGTGGACTACACCTATTTCCTGAATAAATAGCAGTTCCATAAAAATGTTTTTCAATAACATTGCCAAGCAAATATTGATGAGAGAAGGTGATATAAAAAAGAAAATTTCAATAGATTGACTCCCAATCGCATACTTTTCCATTGATCTCAGCATAAATAGAGCTAGTGATCCACCAAAAAGGTCTTCGTACCTGATTATAATCAGAATGGGAGGTAATATACTAATATTCAGGATTCAGGATATTCATATCTGAGAATGCATATTATACTGATATAGTAGCAGCATATTACATTCCCATATAGTTTAAATGAGTAGAAATAATGTGATTGAAATTCTTACCCTAAAAAGCTCATTACCCAGACCATCAGTTATATTAGCCACAAAAGGGCGTCTGAGGCGAAGCAACTGTACAATAGCAAGCACATCAGATCTTTAGAAGCAAAATCAGGTCGTTGGGAACACTAACCAATTTCTTTGGTGCAAAGGGGGCATGGGTGGGAACACAGGAGGATCTTAGAAAATTTTGCTAAGGGAGAAATAGGTAGGAAGATTGTGTATTCACTATTCTCTATCAAACTGAAGAAAACAACACAAATATATACAATAATGATACCCTATTAACCACCAAAGGCAACCCTCTGGACTTTAGATAAAGAAGTTTAAAAATCTCATATAATAATAGCCCTATTAACGCAGACATCAAGTTTTCCCAATTTTTCCCTTGTGACCGATCCAGGTCAATCTGGACCAGTCTATGTGATAACCACTACTGCGACAATGTATTAAAACGGAATTAAACCTTCATGGGTGGAAAAGTTTTAGTCCTGAGTATCGTGCCTCAAGGGAATGGCAGAGGGGTTTCTTGACTTTCATAATAGTCACCGGTTATCGCTAATTATTGGAAGTTTTTTCAATATGAAAGTGATGATTTTCTAAACTAAGTTTGGTGATAATCAAAATAACTTAAATCAATCAATCAATCAATCATCATTACCCCAGCGCCACAAAGGCTCCCACCTACGGTGGGGTAAGGGGGGTCAGATGTACGCAGTCTTACCCCTGTACTAAAGCAGGGAGAGACTTTCCGAATGACCCATAGTGATAATCAAAATAACTTAAATGCTTGATATAAATTATCACAGGGAGTACTTTAACAAATGAACACATGAACTAGAATTAAAATTAATTGAGTACTGATTTAAACTTAAACTAAATTAATTGAAATTGCACTAAATAGGACTACAACGTTGTCAAAGTTTCTAAATAAGAGTTTATATTTAGTATTCCATAAAAGGACTCCAGATTGCATTTTTACCCTTCATATAATTAAACCCCCAAAATCGTTTGTGGTTTCCATCTTCCCCGGATGCGATTTCCAGCCGCCTAGCTTCCCAGTGATGCCATATATGATTTCTCTGTCATCCACAACCTATGATTTCCAGCAACAGCAGTTGCTTGCTCGTCAACGCCACAAACATAGCTGCACACCACTCTTTTGCAGTTTTTCCGGCGACCTCACACTTTGCTTCTGCAATTTCTCTGTTAAAACCAGGTAATCTTCTTCTTCCTCTATTTTATTCTCCTTGGGCTCCTCTTTTTGCTTCCTTTCGCACTCCTCCATATTTTTCTTCTTGTGTATTTCTGTTCAATTAATAATTCTGATCATTTTTTAAAACATTCAGATTGTTTTTCTTATAATTTGAATCTAACAAAGCCATCATTGCTGGGTTTTTTTTACAATGATTTGAAAATAATTCACTATTAAGGTGTAGTATTACATTTGACAGGATGGCATTTTTTAACCCACTTGCCGGTTTTTTACATCTACAGATGCCATTTTTTATATGAAAATGCCATGTTTTAACATCCACAAATGCCATATTTTTATATGAAAATGACGTGATTATTTTAACATGGCAGTGCATAATGTCAATGTCATTATTATTTTAACGGGGCATTCATTTTTTTTACAAAAATGGAAATTACGCCATAGGACTATAGGAGGTGGCAAAGGTAGAGGAGATGGCAACGGTGTCTGATGACACGGCGACCTCTCCAAAGGGTGGTGGTGACGGTCAGATCAGAGGGTGATGAAGGTGGTCTCACAGGAGGGTGGCAGCTGTCTTGCTATAGGGCAGCGGCCAGAGGCAGTAGTCTCACTGAAAGGCGGCAGCAGTCTCAATGAAAGGCGGCAGCAGTCTCAATGAAAGGCGGCACCAGTGGTATCGCAGGACAGCAGCGGCGCCATTAGAGGCAGGAGTAGCAATGGGAAGCAGGCAGCCTGGAAGCAGTGGTAATGGCAACCGTAGGTTTTTATGTTTTTAGTTTATTTTTCATTAATGGTGATTTTGTGAAGTCTTTTCACTTTTAATCCTACAAAACACGGAAGTCACATGTGTATATTTATTGATATATATATATATATATATATACACACACACACACATATACACTATATATATAAGTATGTGCATATACATTTATACACACGCGTGCACACACAAGCGTGCATGCACATATATACGTATCAATTAGGAACTAGTAACCACTTTGAATAATGTCTTAACTGAAATCTGGGACAAAATGAATCATGCCACCACTAGTAAATACCAGCAGATTTTTGGTAGTAAGGACATAACAAAGTCACAAAAAAAAACATGTGTAGACTTTGTTTAGAATGAACCAAAAAAATACCTGTCTTGCAATGACACTACTTTTTTCGCGGATAAAACCTGCAGGCTGAAATGACAAATTCGGGTAGGTATCGCAGAAGTATATTGTTATCAAAAGCATTCCATCAAAACTGAAAGTCTCAAACCAATGTATCCAAACCATGAAAATTGCACCCCCTTCATCCCCAATTTAGGTTCACATTTTCTTTTTTCACTCTTTTATTTAATAAGGAAGTGAAATTGTATGGTTGGAATTCATTTAAAAAGAAAAGAAAAGAAAAATACAACATGATTCTTTATTTCCTAAAAAGAGAATGAGAAGGTAATTTTGAGACGTACAGCAAAAGGAAGGTGAGAAGAAAATCTGGGGATGGATGCAGCAAGTATGTACATACCGATTCTGGGTAGCACACATCTACAATAGCATATCTGTTTTCCTACAATTAAAAGGTAGCACCAATTATTACAACCTCATCAGAATTATAAAAAAATCAAAACACAGAGGAGAACCAGAAACAGTGGCGGTAAGATTCAGCATATCAAAAGGTGGAGGGGGGGGGGGGCTTTTTATATATTCCTGGTTATGAGCGCCGCCCACCTAATCATGAGGCTTATATGAACCCCCCCCCCCCCCCCCCCCCCCCCATGAGACCCTCAAAAGTCGGTTGATTCTGTATTTGATCACATTTAGACGAAACCGGTAACTGCCCCACGATCCATGATACATCCAGGTATTACATCATGTGACCCCCTCCAAGAAGTTCCTCCCTCGGGTTTCGAGGAATTTGAGAAAGTAAAGAAGTAGCATGACTCAAACACTAAATACTTTTCCCGCAGAACCCTTAATAGTTAATACTATCAGGATGGTTGGTGAACTCTTAACAAAAAACACATTTGCAAAAACAAACAAATCTGTCAATCAATTCTGGGCAGCTTATACAAAACATGATCGCTGTAATCATCACTGCACATTGAGAAAGCTTCTTAAAAGTACTCAAGGGCTTGGACTTATCACATTCTCCTCTCTTTTCTAAGTTTTAATTGAGACATCATCAGAATGATGAGCAAGCATCATATAGAAGCTCTAAGTCTCTAACATTATTATTTTAGTGTGAATGCAGGAAACTAAACAAGAAAATGTATGCAGCATACAAAAGCTCTACATCACTAACAATTTGACTTTTGTATGAATGCCAGAAACTCGAATGGTGCTTGGTGCTACTCCTATTAGGAAGTAGATGACTAAGATTTAAAAGGAATGAGCCGAATGACATTTATTGTTATCTTATTACATCACACTGCCGATAGGCAGCATGGAACTATGAAAGTGCATATGTAGTAGACACATGCTCTACAAGGAAGCAAAACAAAGAGAGTTCATGAGATAATAAGCATTAATCAGAGCATGCTTGCAAAGTCATTACAGTTTTCAACTCTAAAAATTATAAAGTGATGAACCAACTAACCTTATTGCAAAGGGAAATTCTGTCAAATAATTAAAGAGCTTACTTGCTCAAAGCCAAGAACAAGATTCGCCCATTCTATGTCTCTAGTAATCAGCAAGTTGGATCTAGCGAGAAGATGAGCAACCATGGACTGAAAGGAGGAAGGGGGGAAGGCAGGTTAGTTTTCAAGGAATTTCAAGTCAAGAAATGCTCAACGCTTAAATTAAAGTCTCTGTATTGATACCACCTTCTTTACATCTAAACTCTCATATCATAGTGGGAGTGCGGAAACATCTACCTCTTCAGGTGATGAAGGTTGCAGAACACCCGCCACAGATTGGCTCGGCGGCGGTTGTCTCAGATTGGGTTTTAGATCATCGAAGGAAGATTTCTCTTCAGCATAAACCCCTGAGAGACGCCTTACAGATGACCCCCGAACAGAGACATGACTACAAGATCCTGATTCGCCATGGTTCAGGACGCCATGACTTTTTGGTCTATATTTTGCGCCAGCCTTATGCTTCTTTGAGTTCTTTCTATCTGCAACCCATAGCTGGACAAAAAAATCTCTGCTCAAATCAGGATCATTATTTGCGCCCAGACCCAATCGACGAGATACAATCTTTAGAGGATGCTGTATGCATTGGATTTTCCTCACAATGGAATCACACTGCTTAACCATTGACGCCATGTTTATTCCCCGAGTTCACTAATTACTGAATTAGAAAGAAAAATGTTTCCGCAATCCGTTTGAGAAGTCAATATTGACCATGTCCATCATATGTACCCACCCTGGGTACGTGTAGACAGTGGACAACGGCTGAACCAGATTTTAAGAGATGCTTGTTGGCAAATGCATGTAACTAAAATCCTTGGGAGTCCTTGCCTGATTGCCTCCCAGAAAAATTTGGAAAATATCTTCTTTCTAGGGTTTTTATTTTGTAAGAAAATACAGAGTTAGTTGATAATTAAAGATACTCCCTCCGGTTTTTAATAAACTTCACACTTTCCTTTTTGGGACGGTCTAAAATAAACTTGACACTTCCTTATTTCCTTTTTTGGCAAAGAAATCTACATCAAAACAGTGTCAAACAGTGTCTCAACAGTGCCAAACAGTGTCTCTACAGTGTCAAACAGTGTCAAACGGTGCCTCAATAGTGTACTCTACAGTAAAGTCAAATTTCTTTCCTTATTTTGTGTGAAGTCAAAGTGTGAAGATTAAATAAAACTAGAGGTAGTATAATGTATAATGTAAACAAGATTTTGAGAGAGCCTAATCACCCTTATAGGCATGGCAATGGGTGGGGACAGGGCGGGTATTGCAAGACCCGGACTAGCCCTGTGATTTCACTGGATGGACTCATGGACCCGTCCCGCCCCGTGACCGCACGAGTCCAAACTTGTTGACCCATGACCCGTCTCATGTAGGGCGGGTCTGCCCCGCCGTAACCTAATTAGCTAGTACTCCGTATGTATTTGTATTTGTGGGGTGTTGTTATCAATTGAATCTACATAAAGTTTATCTCTAAATAATTATTACAGAATAATATATTGAATCAAATTCAGATACGCTAAAATTTTAAAAATTAAGAAAAAATACTTAGACTTGAATGGTTAAATCTATTCAATTATATTAATAATTGAATATATGTATTAATAAGCTATATATAAAGAAGACATTGATTATTCGTCGTTCATCTCATTCAAATATTAATATTAATATATTATAAGAACAAAGAGTTTATGATTTATTATTCACACATATGTGTATTGAAGTATATATGTAGTACTCCCTCCGTCCCAAAAACAACTTCCCACTTTCCTTAAATGGATGTCCCAAAATTAACTTCCCACTTCAATACTTTCCTTATTTGGCAAATTATCTACATCAAAAAAGTGATAAACTGTGCCAAACAGTGTTTAAACAGTGCCAAACAGTGTTTAAACAGTGCCAAACAGTGTTTAAACAGTGCCAAACAGTGCACTCTACAGTAAAGTCAAATTTATTTCCTAAATATGTGTGTAGGTCAAAGTGGGAAGTTGTTTTCGGGACGGAGGGAGTATAATTTAAGAAAAAGTATGTATACTTGTATATTGAGCGGGTCGGGGCGTCACGAGTCAATACTAATACCCGGACCCGGACCATTGTATATGGGTGGCGGGGCGGACCCGCCCCATTGTATAGACGGGGCGGGGCGGACCCGCCCCAAATGACTCGAGTCAGGGCGGGTCATTGCGGGTCGGTTTTTTTACATGCCCCACAAATAATATATTAAATATTACAGCTATATATTACAGAATAATTATTAAGATATATAATACAAAAATCATAAATAAATCAATTAACAAAAACCTAAAATTTCTAAATAGAATGATAAATCAAATAAAATAACTAATTTAGTAATATCAATATCATCAAATTAATTATTTCAAGTCTATATCATATAATCTCATCAACACAATACCAGTTTCTTTTACCAATATAGCAATATTAACCCAATAAACAAATAAATTATAACTACTAGTCATGAATTTAGCATGTTAAATACTACTCGGTACTATTTCACTTTACAGTTGTAGTACTACGGAGTTCACACCAGTTCACATGCAATCACACAAACCCAATTGTCATTAGTATGTACTACGGAGTATATTAGTATATAGGCATTTAGCCATTCAGCAAGTCAGCAAGTTAAGGAATGTTTGGAACTGGTTCTAATTCTGCTTCTTTTTTAAAGTAAAAGCATAATCAAAATCGGTTTTCAGAAGCTTGTCACCCCCAGCTTCTAAAAAAAACTGATTCTAGGAGTAAAATAGAGCACCATAATCACTTCTACACTTTCACCCAAACACTCCAGCTTCTGCTTCTGCTCCCTAAAGGAGCAGAAGCATTTTCAAGAATCAGATCCAAACACCCCCTAAATCAAATACTACGTACTAAAAAGTTAAAATCCTTATGACCTTATTTAGACATCCAGATATTTATTACCCCCTCCATAACATAAAAATGAGTATCAGACCTATAAAAATGAGCATATGCAACTTGCAAGATGAGCATTGATATGAAAATTGTAAGTTTTGTTTGTTGAGCGTCAAGACATTTTCAATGAGCATCAAACATCCGCTATTGAGTATTAGAATCTGCAATTAAGTATCAATCATGATTTGTGGTCTCGTGTCTATAATGAACTCCTATATAAATCTAATGTAATATGAGACTTTTAAAATATACATTGCTAAAACACTTTAAAAATGAGCATACATAACTTATTATTACATAATGTAATACTAAATGAACATACATAACTTACAAAATGAGTATCCAAAAATTCAAAAACTCATTTCTGTAGGTTCATTTTTTTAGGCGTTTTACTCATTTGAGTATAAAGTAAAACTCATTTCTAATATGTTCAGTATTAATTAATATATAAAGAAAAGGAAGTAAACAACAAATCAGAAAAGAACTTTAAAAAAAATCAGAAAAGAAGTAAAGAAAAGGAAGTAAACAACAAATCAGAAAAGAAGTAAAGAAAAAGACAAAACAAAAGGAAGTCAAACCAACCAGCTACCAATAAAAGTAAAGACAAAACTAAAAAGTAACAATCAGGAATGACAACGAAAATAGAAACAAAGGGTATGGCGGCTAAAGAAAAGGAGATGGCGGCTGAAGAGAAAAGAAAAGAAAATGGAACGAAGATCCAACGAGAAAAGGGAAAAGAGGAATACGGCGGAAGAGGAAAGATGATGGAACAGAGATCCAACGAGAAGGAATTGAAGATGAGAGAGCAAAGGAATCTCTTCGAGCCTTATGTTGCACGAAACGCAAAAATCATGAGGAAAGTAGGAAACGGGAAACGTCAACTTTTGCTCAAAAAAGACTTATTTGGAGAGTTTCCAAATAGTTTCCGAAACGGAAAACGTACTCTTTCCCGAGAGTTTCCGTGCTACATAACTTAATACTCATGAAGAAAAAAACGTTTATAGATAGTACGATAGTATTTGATATAGTATGGGAACCTGCTTGATACTCCGTAGTTTATACGTAGTACTACGTATTAAATTTCGATTTTAAAGAAAATCAAAAAAGTAAAAACAAACCAAATGAATTCCAAATAATCACTATTTTATACAGAGTATAAAAGGAGCTCCCCTCTTCGATCATAGAGGTCACGCTTTTACTACAGTGCACCAACTCCCATATAATATCCATTCTTTTGTCGCCTTTTGTTCTTCCAAATGGCACTCCCCGAGTCCCCTCACTCTTCACTTTCGTGTGTTCATCGTATGGCGTCATCTGCATAAGAACCAACTAGTGCTTACTCACTCGGTAATGTATAATGGCTTTCTGGGTTTCATTTGAAAACAAGATTAAAGCATTGATTAGAAGCGCACGTCTTTTAGGGATGCATTAGTACTTTTTCCTTCATTTATAACATAAAAAAACCAAACTTTACTATTCATTTCTTCCGAGTTAGTGCTGCATTGACATGTCCGTTTGTGATGTGGAAGGGGAAAATGGAAGAAATGTGCTTTTCGGAGGAAGTGGTTCAGGCCTTGTTGGAGCATTTTGTTGAGCCTTTTTTGCCCAGTTGCCGAACTAGACAAACCCCTACTCCTTCCCAACATCAGACAGTGGCCAAACAGGTAATATTTCAACAATTCAGGTTTTCCTTTTTCTGGAAAAGGTTTTGAACTTTGATAATGCCTTTAGTTGTATTACTGAAACATAATGTTCCTTACTCTGCCGTCTCTGCCAATGGGTGTCAAAGGTTGAGCTTGGGTTATTGATGAGATTGAGAGTTTACGTTCTTTTCCCTGTATGGAGAGCCTTGGTGTATGAGTTTATCATTTAAGCCTAGATTAAGACATTATCAATTATCAATTGTAGTTTGAGCTCACCTGACTCTGAAATAGTTCATCTTAGCTAAACTCCATTGTAAAGCTCAAACTTGAGCTACATTTGTTACTTTATGGTGTTGTGTTCTGTATAATGTGAGGATGACATAAATGCTGATTCTTGAAACACTAATTGTTATGTTTTATGCCAGTGTGCTGAGGCAGAATTTAATGTACTGTTCATTCATGACAGATGCATGCGGTGGTGTTGCTTTACAATTACTATCATCGAAAGCAATATCAAGAATCGGAGTTTCTTGATTTCACGTCGTTTTGTAAGTTGGCCATTGTATTGAAACCAAACTTGATGGCTTACATGAAACTCATGCATCAAGCGGATTATTCTATGATGGATGATTTCGAGAATAAACTTTCACAAACAGAAAAGGCCATACACTGTGCATGCAACATATCTACTGCTCTGGACGCGTCAAAAAGTGTTCCCGTTACAGATGACTGGACAGTGTCTAAAGTTGCTGTCTTTTTAGTGAACTTGAGGAGGCAAAATTGCATGCTACTTGAAAGTGACATTACCCATGGCATTATATCTATAATTGAGAAAGATCTAGAGGGTTCTAGTATTCGTGCACATAATACTTTTGAATCAGAATGCAAAGACAAACAGACAGGAACTGCAGAATTAATATTGAATAATTTTGAAAAGAATGATGATAATGATCAGTTCTTGGATTTAGCTTTTTCTGCTGTTAAAAATGTGGCAGGTATTTTAAGAATAAATACACGTCTATTTGTTCTTGATTTCATGAAACTTGGGTTTGAGTATTTGACTGGTCACAGTTTATAAGTAATTCTTTTCCCCACCAAAAAACCATTCTGTTGTGAACAGTTGATCCCTGAGCGATGAGAAGTGCCTTAAAATGACATGGTGCTTCTTAAATACTTGGGAGCTTTCCTTTCCACTTTCCATTTATGTATCTTTCGTTCCTCGTGTGGCATAGGAATTAAATATTTCACTAGATCTTTCACTAGCTGAATCATAT